ATGCCCTGGAACTTGCTCTGCAGCCCAGGCTGGCCTCGAACTCAGAGATCCACCTGTCTCTGCCTCCTGAGTGCTGGGACTAAAGGCATGAGCCACTACCGCCTGGCTATAAAGCTCTTTTGCAAAGCATCTGCCAGATGTATTGGAGGCCCCAGGGTCTGTCCTCAGCAAAATGTGTACTTCCCCATGTTGTATTTTATTTTATATTTAATTCGTTTTTTGAGACAGGGTCTCACTTTGTACCTTTAGTTGGCCTGGAAGTCTGCTGTATCCAGGTTGGCCTTGAATGCTTGGGATCAAAGGGATGAGCTACCACAACTGGCTTCCCATTTCTTAGCACAGTAAATAGCAGGTTTCTGCTGGAACCATTGATAGAAGTGGTGGGCTGAGTTTTAAGATCTGCAGCAGTTGTACTAGAGGATGGAATCCTTAACCTAAAACCTTTAGCCCCAGCACTGGGGAGGTAGAGGCATGTGGATCTCTGTGAGTTTGAGGCTAGCCTGGTCTGCAGAGCAAGTTCCAGGACAGGCTCCAAAGCTACACAGAGAAACCCTGTCTTCAACAACAACCCTTCCCCCTCCCCCATGCTGGTTAAGGTTCTTCTGCCCTTACCTCCCAATTGCTGATACCTAGCTAAAATTGATTTCAATTTAGGAGCCCAATTTAATCTTGTAACATTTTAAATTTCTATAGAAACTAATTGTTAACATTTAATTTCAACTCAAGTATTTATTAAGCACCTACTTTGTGGGAGTACTTCATTTCTTGTTTATTTTTTTTAATTTTTTTTCTGGTTTATGTTTTTATTAGTCTCACAGCTTCAAACTCATGATGGCTATTCTCCTGCCTCAGCATTCCGAATACTGGGATCATAGGCATGAAACACTATGCTTAAACTTCATTTCTTTTTTCTGGTGTTGATAATATGTTCTAGAATAGTGTATTTTCTTAAAAGGCATTTCATTTTGGACCAATGTAAAGTTTTAAAACCTTAAGAACTAATGTTTTTAAGTGAAGTAGTGTTTTAAAATACCCTTTGACACTTCATTTTTAACTTTTTATAAATGGAACAATCTTTAGTAAGCTTTACCCTAGAAATAGATTGTATACAAATGCAGTGTAGACTTAGTGGACTTCAACCTCACAGCTGTTAGACACACTGACAAAAGGGTTCCTTTGGAGGATTTCTGGATTACTGCCCCAGGGTAATAGGTGGGGATCTTTGTATTCCAGAGAAGACTTAAGTATGGGTTCTGAACTGAAGATAAGTTAGAAGAATTTTCTGTATTTCCTGAAACCTTATCTATGTTTAAACAGATTACCGTGTACAGAGTTTAGATATGCGCATAGTAGTATTCAAACTGAATCAAATTGCATTTACACATAGTATGGACTAGGTGGGACTTCTTTAAAATTCTAAATCTGTTGTGTTATAAATAAATAGAATTTGCATGACAGATTTTGTTTTTCAAAACGGCATCTAAAATAGTAAGCATTAGCATCCCTGCCCCAAAAGGCCATGTGTCTACACTCATTCTTCCACTTTCGAGGTAGTCAATTAAATTTTGAAGGTAACCAGATTTATTGGATTTATTCTGTTATTTTATGTGCTAGTGAAGTATTGGATCCTAGTAACTGTACCAGCAAGAGGACAGTTTTACTCAACATTTCCTTGTCTGGTAGTGGCTTTTCCACAGAGCTGTGTAAGAGTGAATGATGAATTACATTAGTGTCACTGGTATAGGCCAGTGTCTTATTTAAAGCCCAAATTACTCTTTCATTATCTTTCTTAGTACTTTGTTTTTACTTTCACTGCAGTATAAAATATGCACAAGTGGTCTAATGCATAACTGGGTTTTACTTCTTAAAATCCCCAGCTGCAGGAGTATGTGTCCCATTTTTTGCATGCTTTTAAGTTAGTCATTATCTTTTTAGTAGTACAGTCAGTTACTTTTAAATACTGTGTGCATCTATATCTGTCTGATGAAGTTGTTCCTGATTTTACTGGTTGCAGGATGATGCTGTCAGTATCGAGAGTGGCACAAACACAGAACGCCCTGATACGCCTACAAATACACCGAATGCACCGGGAAGGAAAAGCTGGGGGAAGGGAAAATGGAAGTCAAAGAAATGCAAATATTCTTTCAAATGTGTGAACAGCCTCAAGGTTTGTACCTAAAGCACTAGGCTTCGAACTTCTAAGGGACATACAGAATACCCTAAGGTTTAAAATATTTTAAAATTACAGTATTTTAAAGGTTTGTTTAAACTGGATATTACAATCTATCATACATTTAGTCATTTGAGCTTTATTTATTGTGTGCTTCACTTTAAATGTGTAATACTGAGTTGTAGGCTGGTGTTACTACCTCCCCCCACCCCCCCTGTTATATAGTCCTAGCTATTCTGGAACTGGAACTCTCTGTAGACCAGGCTGGCCTTGAACTCAGAGATTAAAGATTTGGGCCACCACTGCCATGCAAGCCTGGATTTTTAAGAGATAAGAAAATGAAAGCTAGAAGACTTTAAAAGTGGGGGGAAAGTACTTTCACGGGAACTTGAAAGTCAGTGTTAAACACAAGGAGATTGCAACAAGGCTCTAAGTCTGAACTGCAACTTGGAAAACAAAAGTGAACAACCCTGTACTGTGCTTGTCTACTATGCAGTTTAAGTCCTGGTTTTAGTACAAGCACTAAAAATAAAACAAAAGAAACAAAAGTATCTTACAGATTGCTTTCCCTTTGTGTATCTGAAGGCATAGTTCATTCCCTCCCTGAGTCCTCACTGTTCAAAGTCTTGAGAGGATGACACTTTCCTATGATCCAAATCCAAGGTGGAGTTTTTTATGTTGTTTTCTTTTGAGACAAGCTTTCTGTGTAGCTCTGACTGTCCTGGAATTCTGTAGACCAGGCTGACCTCCAACTTAGAGATGCACCTGCCTCTACCTCCCGAGTGCTGGGAGGGATTAAAGGTGTATGTCACCACTGCCTGGTACGAATCTAAAGTTATTTAAAGATTTCACAAGATAATGTAAATGTGTTTGTATAGGACTAATAAGAGTAGTGGCTCGGATGGAGGGTGATATGTCCCACTTTCCAAGGGAAAAGTTAATTCTAATAAAATCCAAAGCCAGTTGTTTGTTATATGAGAGAAATAACCGTGTCCTCTGGGCTCAAGAGCTTAAAGTGTATCTACCAAAAGTTCTCAATTTATTATGATTCAGAAAGATGGTTGGATTTAAAAACAGGCAGAAACCAGGGTTCCCAGGATACCTATCTGTTTCCTAACTTATGGTGTGCATCTTTGTTAGGAAACATTCACATATTTTTAAGATGTGGACACTTGTGTAGTGTCTTCATTTTAATGTCATAAGTAGCATGTGCATGATATATGTCTTAGTTTTGTATTGCTGTGAAGAGACATCATGACACCTTGTTTTTAAAAAAAAAAGCATTTAATTGGGACTTGCTTTACAGTTTCAGAGGTTTAGTCCATTATTGTTATGTCTGGATACATGGTGGCATGCAGGCAGACCTGGTGCTGGAGAGGTAGCTGAGAGTTCTGCATCTGGATTCACTGGGAGGAGCAAGAACACTGGGCCTGGCATGAGCTTTTGAAACCTCAGGGCCCACCCCCTCCAGTGTCTTACTGCCTCTAAAAAGCCAAACCCCTAATCCTTTCAAATAGTGCTATTCGCTAAGCATTCAAATATATGACCCTATAGGTTTATTCTTATTCAAACTACCACCGTATATAAGAAGTGGACTTAATTTGGGGAGGGGAAAGTAAAAGTTGGCTAATGTTTTTGAAAATATGTTAAAGTTTTCTTATTTCATGATTTTCTAGGAAGATCATAACCAGCCATTGTTTGGAGTTCAGTTTAACTGGCACAGTAAGGAAGGAGATCCTCTGGTGTTTGCAACTGTGGGAAGCAACAGAGTGAGTGTTAGGGGGGCAGGTTGGCAATTGTAATTATTTCGCATGTTACAATTAAAATATTGAAATGGAGTGATTTTAAAATAAATTCTGAATAGCTGGCTTACCAGTATAATTCTTTTGTGTAAGAGTGAAGCTTTTGAGGAATGGTCAGGGTTAAGACTAATACGACTAGAAAATACATTTTTATTTACATTTGTTATGAAGCAGGCTTTGAATCGCAAGAAGAATTGACTTATATTTACCATTCAAATATGAAAGCTGTACTTTTATTTTTAAAGTTTCATTTTATGTGTGTCAGTAGGCTGCCTGCATGTTTATCTGTGCTCTGTGTGCATGCATTGCTAGGGGTAATCATTTCATGGTACTGAAGATGTTTTGTTACAAATTTAATTAAAGAAGAATAAACCGTAATTATTTTAAAGTTTTAACTTTACTCACTTTGGAAAAGTTCTGATTATATGGATGAAATGTATATTTAAATGTTTGGAAATAGAAACTACTATTGCCAGGCTAGTATCACATAGAAGGTGTGAGGATTTATAATGGTTTGGATAAGCTTACAGAGCTGCTGCAAGCAGTTTTTGTAATGTCACTAAGTTGTAATTTTGGCTAGAATGTTTTAAGAGTCAGAGAATGTTTCTTTCTCTGAAATGATATGCATATTTTTGTTTCTTTAGGTTACCTTATATGAGTGCCATTCACAAGGGGAAATCCGGTTATTGCAGTCCTATGTAGATGCTGATGTATCCTTCTCTTGCTGCTTTTGTATGGTTTAAAACATTGAGTTTGATAAGTACACTAAAACTTTTTTTTTT